GTTGACCCTCCGTCAACCCAAGTAGTAACACGATCGTAGTACACCACTTACTTCCTCCATCCAACATAACACCCACTCGGATCCGGAACCAAACATGTAAGGGGTGGCGATATTATTCGAGTATGCCTAACGAGATCTCTCCAATAGATTAAGCTATAATATTTCTCAAGGTTCACCAAACTTCTCGACCAAACCCTTGTCTGCTCAAGTTACAAGATTAGCCGATGGGTTGGGGTGCCCCCCAAAAGTATAAGTGGTCGATGAGACATCGCTCCAATTGACTTAGAATTGTTTATGGCTCGGTGCTCACGAGTTAAACATGTTCATGTACAAGTACAAGTCACATATATTCATTTAACAATTAGCATGTAATCAGGAGAGAGAGAGGAGGAAGGCGATAAAGTACACACTCATCTCGACAAGTTAACGTATCATGTATAGTATTTGTACGCATATCATTTCAAACATATAAGCATTTAACATGCACTTGACACTCACTACAAGTCAAGGGCAAAAACAAGAGTAAAGCGAAAAGTCAGACGAGCTCTTCATAATTACCTAGGTGCTCGATCAAAGTTAGAAAGAAAGACATTTTTCGCTACTCACTCTCCAAGTCACAGGTTCGAGTTAAGTTAAAGAAGCTTTTCTAGCTAAAACATTAGAATAATGCTCAAAGAGATCTCGAAGGTCATTTTTTATTCAAGTCGTGGTAAGTAAATCTCAATTCCAAAGAAAGTACCATTTTCACTTTCGGAACAAAAATCAAGGAAAATGGTAAATGGTTTTCATCATCCAAAACTTCAAATCTCATGTCCAAATTTTAACACATAAAGAGCGTTCATATTTTCAAATTAATGGAGTCAAACTCATCCAAAACTCCACTCATTTTCATAGCAAATGTTAAAGTTTAAGATTCCAAGTTTTGAGTAGAAAACTAGTGAAATTCACCAAGAATTACTCAAGTCAAAATGCTCTCTTTTTAGAGTTCAAGCTCATGGAAATTGAGGCCATAAGAATAGGGGTTATAGTCCATAATTCAAATAGGAAATGAGGTGCCATGAACCAAGGGTTCTATGCAACCAAGATGAATCATAAAAAGGGGATTAATCCCTTGGAAACTAAGATTCAAGATGAGGGTTTAAAGTTCAAAGACATATTGCATCCAACCATGAAATTTAATTTAAAATAGTCCAACAATCGCAAAGGAAGGTTGAAAGTGCTTAAAAAGAGTATTTGTTTGAAAATGGAAAATTTCTAGCTTAGTATGACACTACTTGAAAAAATCGTATCTTGAGTTCAGTACGTCCAAAATTTGAAAAATTTGTACCATTGGAAACTAGACTCAAAAGAACTAAAACTTTTTAGAAGACACTTTTCTCAGACTCCAATTCAAAGTCATTCAAATATTAGCTCAAAGTCACTGTTCTAGACAGGATAGAGCAAAACAGGCTTGTAAATTCAGTGAAGTTTGGAAATTCAGAAAAATTCGTAAAAATGGAATCAGCCCTTGATATTTATATCACTAATATAATTCCAAATTTAGTTTCAAATGTAACAAACGGAACTCAATTCGGACCTTTCTACACCAAGATACAACAGTTCTAAGAAAACTGATTTTTGGAACCTGTTTACGAAATTTTCAGTTCTGACATACTTGACAGAGTTTCAAAATCTGATCATAACTAGAGTTACAAAACTCAAAATTTAGTGTAGTTTATGGTGTTGAAAACTGGATTCAAAATGTTACAATTTACTAGAAGGAACTGTCTTAAAATTCAATTTGCACGATAGGCAAAATTGAGCCACAAACTGCAGTTAGGACTGTTTCTCATATGCAAGCAGTGAGGAAATTCAGTCATATTTTCCGGTTTCACTATGGCTCATGGGAAATGAGTTAGGAGGTGTATTTTATACCGATGGAAAGCTCTCAGAGTCTAGTTTTGGATGCCAAAAACAGCACTCAATTCAACTCCCAGACAGTAAGTTATGACCTAAAACGTGGACACTAGTTGGGGTTTCCTGATTAGAAAATTTCCAGAATTCAACCCTACTTTAACACAATCAAATGGAAAGATTTTTCGGAGATATTTCATACACATAACCACCAACATATATCAAGAATTATTACACCAAAATAACATCAAAATTTTGAAATTAACAAGAAAGGAATAACCAGCAAATTTTGGCCAGCTAGTATTTCTCATCCTCTAGTTTTCTTTTTCAACTTTCCAACTAGAACTACATCATATCTCATCAAAGCAAATAACAAACAAGCAATTAAACACACAAAATCCTCAAGACCTCTACCTATCAAGCCACCTCAAGTCCACTACCTAATGTCAAGGTTCTTGTGAACCCATCAACAACCCAACAACTAAGTAACTAAACTATCTTACTACTAAGATTAGAGAGGAAAAGTTGAGGGTTTCTTTGGATGATTACCTTGCTGCCAAGATGAAGACTAAACACTAGGATTTGAACTCTTAAATCACCAAATTTCTTCCTTGATCAATCCTCTTCCAAGCTTGTATGAAGAACCAAGAGATGGAGAAATTTTAGAGAGCTTTTGTGGAGCAAAAATGGAAGACAAAAGCTGAAATTATTGAGGGGAAATGAGGGAGGGAAGGTTCGGCCAAGAGCAAGAGGAAGAAGGAAGAGTTTAGGTTGGTAGGTGGTGATGTGATGTTGTGTAAGAAGGATTTGACATAAAGGTGTCTTGGTGCACAAAAGTCAACAATCGATTAGTGAGCAATTAGTGTTCCTAATTGAGTTTAACTTACTCACTCACATCTAATCTCTCAATTAACTTTTCTTTGTCTACTATTAATCATTCTTAATTCTCCAAGATTAATATACTCTCGGATCGATGTACCTCGAAAACGTGCATTCATTATTTCTCGCTAAACGATTTGCAGAAAAATTAAATTCGGTAACGAGTCGTTTTGAAAATATAAATGAGACATTATTCCATGAAAATAGATTTAAAATAAAGAAATAAATTATTTGGAGTAAACGGGTGAATAAATAATTAAATAACTCAATAAAATAAAATAAAAGTAAAGTAAAATAAAATTTCGAATCCTCACATCCTTCCCCCTTTAAAAGAATTTCATACATTGATTTAGGAACAATTCTAGGTATTTCTTTCGAATCTCCTCTTCTATTTCCCAAGTCGTTTCCTAAATTCCACAATTTTTCCATAAAACCTTCACTAGAAAAATTTGCTTGCGTCCTAATTCCTTCACTTTTCGATCTAAAAGCTTTACCGGTGTTTCCTCTTGTGACCAATTCTCATCAATCTCTACTTCTTCTGGTTGTAACACATGGGACGGGTCAGGATGATATTTCTTAAGTATGGAGACATGAAAGATATCATGAATCCTGGATAAATTCAAAGGCAATTCCAACTTCTAAGCCACATTTTCTACGCGTTGGATAACCTTATAGGTCTCCTTTTTAAACTTCTTTAATTCTCTCTAACAAGGTGAATCTCACAGTAATATTTCTCAAAATTATCCTCTGTGGATCAAGACACGAATTCCAAACACTAATTTCTTCTAGCATGTGCCACTCTCTCACCATTAAACTGGCCACTTGTACTTTAGGGCATCTACCACCACATTAGCTTTTCCGGAGTGATAGTTAAGCAAACAGTCATAATCCTCCAAAAAATTTCACCCATCTACGTTGCCTCAAATTAACTCCTTTTGGAGAACAAATACTTAAGACTCTTGTGATCCGTAAAAACCTCAAAAGTCACTCCATATAAATTATGTCTCCACTTCTTCAAGGCAAACATTACAGCCGCTAACTCCAAGTCATGGGTCGAATAATTCTGTTCATGAGGTTTTAACTTACGGAAGGCATATGCAATCTTTTTTTTCACTTTGCATTAATACACATCCTAAACCATTCTTTGAAGCATCTGTATAAACCACAAAACCATTTCCTCCGCTCGATAATGCTAACACAAGTGCCTCGATTAAGAACTTTTTCAACTCTTGAAATCCTTCCTCACATTTAGAATCTCAAATAAACTTGTCATGCTTCTGAGTCGACTCAGTTAAAGGTTTGGCAGTCTTAGAAAAGTTCTTGATAAACCGACGGTAATATCCAGCTAACCCTATGAAACTCCGAATTTCGGTAGGATTTTCTGGTCTTTCCCACTTAGAAACAGCTTCAACCTTAGTTGGATCTACAGTAATCCCTTCCTTAGAAATTATGTGACCTAAAAAGGCTACTTCTTCCAACCAAAATTCACATTTATTGAACTTAGCAAAAATTGGCGCTCTCTCAGAGTTTGTAAAACTATCCTCAGGTGTCATTCATGATCTTATTACAAGTCTAAAGGTGTGGAGCAATAAATTAAATATACATATAAGTCGTAAAATCAATTAAAGCAAAATAAATTTTTATGTGTCATAAAAGATCATAATAGTTACACCAAGTGAGGATAACTTTGTCGAATCATTTCAAAAGAAAGGGGAAACAAATAAAATCATAGGAAAACGTCTGATAAGTCGCAAAAGTACAAAACAACAAAAGGACTTTATCCCCTATATAAAATATTACAATATCTAAAAGTGCCAGTCTAAACCAGGGCAAAATTACAACCCCAATCCCTCGAGTGGAGTCAGATCCATCCTCACTCGTAAAGCTTCCACTACTTGAATCTCTCTTACAACCATTAGCATTAATCACTCTTTCTGGCACTCGACTGCTTTGCAGTGGACCTAGCAGGCTGTTGAGAATTTCCTCCTCTCTTAGAAGCGCTAAGGCAATTCGAAAACTTATACTCGGCACTATCGCACCTCAGACATTTTTCTTATTTTCTCTAGTATTCGGCCTCAGTATGGTTAAACTTGCCACAGTATCCACAAGTTACGTGAGGAGTCACGACCTGACCAGTTTGAGAATTTCCTTTTTGCTGACCTCACCCACTCTGGTTCCTTTTGGCGGGGCTCCCTTTGATGGAGTTCCTCCGGATCTTTCGAGCATCCTCACTCCTCTAGCCCCTCTTCCCATTTTAAGAGGTTGGGTAGACTTCTCAGACGTTCCAGGGTGTAGCTTGGTTTACTCCTCTTTCTAGCATGAAAAGTTTTAAATTGAGATTTAGCGTTTTCTACCCTCTGTACCTTATCCAAGGCGTCCGTAAAAATTGTGATCTGGGCGGCTGCTAGAAATTCTTGAATTTTTACATTTAACTCTTGAATAAACCTCTTTATCCTTTTGTGCTCCGTGATCACTAGCTCAGGAACAAATTTGGAAAGTTTAGTGAACCGCTTCTCGTACTCGGCCACACTTAGTAACCCTTGTTTCAACTTAATAAAGTCATCCTCCCTCTTTTCTTGTATCTTAGGCAGAAGAAATTTAGCATTGAACTCCCTCTCAAACTTTGCCCAAGTCCAAGGAGTTTGTTCCCTTTCCCACTTTGCCCTAACAACGTTCCACCACGAGCGGGCTGCTCCCTCAAACTGAAAAATGGCAAAATTCACTTGGCTATCCTCGGCATAGTCTAAGGCAGCAAAAATCTCCACCATTCTTTCAAATCAATTCTCCGCTACCTTGGGATCAGACCCTCCATGAAATCTAGGTGGAGCGAACTTCAAGAATCGCTCTAGGGCTCTATCCTCACCCCTCTCTTGGTTCCTAGGTTGGTTGGCTGGTTCAGGGCCTTGGCGCTCAACTAAACGCTCGAGGATATCGGTTATGCGGTTAATGGTCGTAACCACTTGGTCACCTTCTTCGTTCCTAGGGTTTTGGTTTGGACCAGTCGCAGATCCCTCGCCTCTCTCGGGAATGCGGGGTTGCCGAAACCCACGCCCACGCCCTCGTCCACGTCCTCGACGATCCATTTAGCAAGATTCTAAATGCTTAATAAAAGAGAAAAGTATAAGTGTATAAATTGAAAAACATGTACACGTTGCAAGAACACTTTAAAATCAAAGCATAGATATTTACATAAGTTAGAAGTCATCTCACATGTTAAGAGTGCATACAACGAGTTACTAATATCAAATACAGGACATAGGCATCTAAGTACCTCAAAATACAGTGGTACATGCACAAAATACAAATGGCCTCACAACGAGGTTCACCCCTACTAAGTCCTGATCAAAAGTCAAAAGGTCATGAATGAATGAATAACTTGAATGAATGACTCCAAGTGAGCACGTATCCTTCCAATGATTGAGTATTTATTTCTTGAATGACTAGATATTATTGTGCAAAGTATGCTAATTGTTAAATATAATGTTTCCATGGTTTCTTTACCTGATTGCTTGTTTAGGAACCTCACTGGACTTTTAGCTCATTCCTTTAGTTTTTGTTTTCCTTACAGGAATGGAGGTCTGAAGCAATTGAATGTGAACTAGAGTGTGTAACCACCCTCTTGTACTTATACTTTTTGGTTGATAGGATATATTTTGACATTTGATGTTGTATGATACGTTTGACTTTTGGGTTTGTAAATAAGTTTACATCTTGGTTGAATTGTAGAATTTAAATGTTATTTTGGAGACCTGAATGATTAATCTTGAGAGTGAGTGAGTGAGTCCTGGCGAGAGTTGGGCAGGTGGTCCCCCAAACCCTTGGGTACGCCCTAGGGGGAGGTGGGGTTGTCACAGATATCCAAGGCATTTCCGAAATTTGACAATTTTAATTTTGTCCGTTGCCAACATGTCTTCCCCTTTTACACCTGGAGACTTTTTTTTATAGCTTCGCGGGAATTAATTTTTGTATTCAACTACTGCCAACCCAACGGTGCCTTGAAAATGTTGTTCGCACTTACTGTTCTGATGATATATTCCGGCCAAACCTTTGGAGTATTCCACTAATGCCCAAAAAACTTAGCTTTGGATGGTTGAACCATAATATTTTCTCTTGGTTATTCTTAGGGTTTGTCGGTGATCAAGAGCATAATCCGGAAGGAAACTTTTAATGTTATTTTGTTAAACTGGTGAGTGTTCTTTGCATGTTGTGCTTCCAATGACTATGTGGATTGTTGTGAATGTTTGCTTGAAGGTTAAATATTTTTCAATGATTGTCAAATGAATTTTCGATAGGCGAGTGTGTACTTTATTGCACTCGACCTAAGTGAACGTAAAATTTTCAATGATTCAATGATTGAATGCTACTTGTGCATGAATGTAAGCCTTTTGGCTAAATTGGGCCCTTGCCCTTCGTTGTCAGTTGACTCGAGCCAGAAGCGGATTCGGTCGGGTGGCTGGTGACCCTGGAACAGTGTTTTGGTATATTCGAGTATTACCACAAAGTCTGGTGGAGAACTGGCCAGTGAATTCAATGCAATGATATCAATGAATGAATGACAAGATCACTAAAGGAGATTTCGCTTGCAAACGTTTTCTAATGTCGAAAGGATAAGGAAAATGGTTGGCGAATGAATGAATGAATAACTTGAATAAATGACTCCAAGTGAGCACGTATCCTTCCAATGATTTAGTATTTATGTGAGGCCCCAGTCCGTCCGTAAGCTGATATGAGGGTTATTCGTAAATCGGTGGGATGGAATTCGGGTTTTAAGGCTAAGGAGTAAAACCCTAACCTCGGTTAAGGTTGAAAACCCTAGTTTATTTTATTAGAAAGTTTAAGTGGGTTTTTTTTTCTTTATCGCCCGCCTTTTCTACATTTTTCTTTACTAGAACTTTCCCTAGATAATTCTTATGAGTAAATATAGGTTTTAGATGATTTTTCTAGTATCGGTTAGTTTTTGAGAAATTAAGGATATATAACGGACGTGGGACCCGCTAGTGCGAAATGTTCGGAAAAATTCGGCCAATAAGGTTAAGTTTCGGATAATGTGTAAAATTTATCGGGTGTTAAGAGATAAGTAGAGGTTGTGATGTGATTGATGTGAGAGAGAAAAAGGATAGAGATGCTTTAAATGGAGTGACAAGTGTCACTATCTCATTGGTGGGACTTGTTGGACAACTATTCATTTTTTTGACTTTTTACCATTTAGTTAAATATCTCACAAAAAAATTACAAAAATTCACTCTTTTCTTCTCCTCCATGGCCGGCTCTCTCTTGAGCAAAGAAGAAAGAAAACTCTTCCCATTTCTAGCTTCCATCTAGCTCAAATCTTCCAAAACAATCACATAAACTTGTTTCTACTCCATAAAATCTCTTCATTAGGTGTTATTTAGTAGTTTGGTGAAGTGTTTGGAGAAGCTAAGGTGTCAAGCAACTCTCTCTCTCTTGTTTTACTAGGTGAGTAATGAATGAACCTTCTCCTTCATCTAATGAAGCTTAATTGATGCCTAGTGATAGTTAAAGTGATGAATTTTGTGGTTATTTCTTGCTTTTGGATGAATTGATGAAGTTTTCAATTTATTAGTGATTTTTCTGGTTTAATATGATCATGATGGTGTGGCTATCTTTGATGATTGGAAATGATGTTTAATAACTCTAGTAGGTGTAAATGATTGATAATTGCAATCAATTTCTGTTTTGGAAGAAATTCTGGAAAATTAGGGTTCTTGGTTCTTCATTCTGTCCGAAATTTTTGGTCCTAGATAGAGGCCGAATTGGCCTTGGATTAAAACATGAAAGTTGCAGGTATTGATGTTTTAAAGGTGCCTGTAAAATTTCAGGTCAATCGGAGTAGTGTAGAATGAGATAAACCGAAATTACTATTGCTGTTCTGGGTTCATCAGGATGTTAGAACTGCGTCTGAAATGGGTTGTTTTGCCTGGAATTGTTTTGGATTTGGGTGTTGAGGTCTTCTGATGAAATGTAGACCTGTTTCTAAGCTTTCGGATGGCTTTGGAATTTCTGGATTTGGCCTTGTGTAGGCTGAGTTATGATGTTTGTATTAGAATACGGTTTGTGACCCTGTTTTGCGATTCTGGTATAGTGTCTTGCATTTTTTACCTTGTTACCTTCAAAACTGGACAAAGTTGCCTTCTTCAACATTGTAGCCCCTTAAGTTCTGAATATTTCTGTAAAATTTCAGGTCAAACGGATTAGTGTATTCTGAGTTATAGATAGAACACTCAGGCCTGTTTTAGACATTAGTTTGTGTACGTTTTGAATTTCAGCTTCTGACCGTGGGTTTTCCGTTTTGATCCCGTACGATCTGGGTGTCAAATCCTTCGTAAGAAATGTAGATCTTGGTCTCAGCTTCGAAACGGTATAAAGTACGTCGAAATCCGAGTTCCGTAGCTTCCGTTATGACCAAAACAAGATTGATCGTCAGAACTGCCTTGTATCTGGACAGTTCTGACGGGTACTTTGGCACTCAATTTTCGTTCTTTTCTGAGTGGATTCAGGTCTTGGCCAAAACATCAAAGTTTTAGCCTTATGTCTCAGCTTTCTAATGCCTTTGGAATTTCCTGATTTGGACTTGTGAGCTAGAAATTATGGTCTAGTAAACAGACCCTGTCTGTCATTCAAAATGCAAACTTCTGGTACCGTTTTCCATGATTTCGACTTGTGTTGATTCGGATCTAGTTTAAGGTGTCTTCATGAGAATCGTAGGCCTTCCTCATAGCTTCAAAACGGTGTCTCGCTCACCTTGATCCGATATTCCTAGCCTAATCTTTGATCAAAACGGTTTGAGATGGCCGATTTGGCCGTTTCCGTTTGCCGTTCCGCGCGAGCGCGTCTGCCGATTTTTGCCGTTTTGCTTGTTTTGGATCTGTTTGTAGTCGTTAGTGATATAATGTGATAAAATCTTCTATTTCAGATAGTGGTGAGCTAGGCGGTGCCGGTGGGGCCCACTACTAGCGAACACGCGCGAAGCGATTTTGCTTTAGTACTACTTTTGGTATTTTGAGTAAGTATTCAGGCCGCTCTTACGTGTTAGTTGCTTATGTGTTTCGATATACATGAAAAGGGTATCTAGGCGAGGGTGTACTTTATCGCACTCGACCTAAACCCGAATTTGTGCACATATTTGTACATGACATATGTATGTGACTCATTTTGGAACCGAACCCCTTGAGCTTGTGGCTCGGGGTGACTTTTGAATAATTTTGTGACGTTTGTGAGTTTGGGGCCCGATCTCGTGACCTAGATGGACTATTCGAGCCGGTTAGGGCTTGGTCGAAGTCAGTCCAACTTAGTCTGAGGTCACCAAGTTTGTGAATCCGGTTCACCGAGTTGTGAACCAAGTTTGTGACCCGAGCTTGTGACTCAAGCTCAAGTTTGTGATTTCGTTCACCCGGGCAAGTTTGTGAGGTGACTGGCCAGTGAGGGTGATAAGGTGTCGGTGGGTGTACAAGTGAAGTTCTACGGACCATTATGTGTGGTCGACGGAGTGTCGGCAGGAGGTCATACATGGCACATGAATTGGCTTTGGAGCCACCTGTATCCTTATTATATGATGTTACTTTTCTGCTTTTGCTTTACTCCTACTGTGTAAATGTGGCTACGTGAAATTTACGTTTTACCCTGTTTACTTACTAAGCTTCTAGCTTACCCCGTTTCCTTTGTTTTCCTTAGCAGGGGACGACGCGGGGAACTTTGGGACTCTGCCGTTAGTATCGTTAGGTCTCGTTTGTAATAGTTGGACAGTTAG